ATATTTATGTTTGTGGTTGTAATGTGACAAAATATGGAAAAGTTCAAGGGGTATGAATACTTTTGCAAACCACTGTATATTTAACTGATATTTTTATCCAAACAATCAATGATTTATAAGGTTAATCAGAAAAATTAACAAGGCTGCCCAAACTTTTCCATATGACTGCACATTGCAGCCACAGCTGCCCTGGGGCACACTGACAGAGGCAGGGCTGCCAGGCACCAGCGCCACAGACCCTCTGACCACCATCAGTAGATAAAGGCGGTTGAAGTGTTTCTCATTGATCCAGCCTTTTCCAGGAGGTCAGCACCTTCTGTAGTTACCTACTGACTCAGCCTAACAACAAACAAGCATCAATTTAACATGCATGATCTGAAAGCAAGATTATCAGACAAGTAGGATTTTTGAACTTGAATAATAGCCTGTGTGAATCAAGGCTAAAAAAACCTGCAATTTTACCACTCACTTAGACAGGACATGACCTGACGAGCCCAGGGAGCTGCGTTCCTGTTGAAGGGAACTCATCCAGGTCCAGACGCATCAACCCCACACTGTTCTCTGGAGCTTATGAATGGAGGCAGGAAGGGGGGCAGCTCTGAAACCTCTTAAGTTACCTCAGCTCATACACCTTTAAAAAACCCAGCAGAATAAAATAAACAGAAGATTTAGCAAGACTCAGAGACAGCGGCGCCGGATTCATTTTTTAGGTGGGGGGTCACGTTTAGTTTCACCACACGGTAATCTCAGTGGATACATTGCAGTCATCAGATATGGAAAAGCTATTAAATAAAGTCTAAAAAGAAAAATAAAATAAAGCAAACTGCAGTCATGAATAAGGTGTTTTTTATTATTTATTTATTTTTCAGTTCATCAGCCGCTTGTGAGCTTGACTCGTCATCAAGCAACAATTAAATAATGAAGTTTTCACCTGCGATTGTTTTYTTATTTAAATCATTTATTAGGAAGGATGATCAAATGACCATGAAAAAAACTAAACGTATGTAAATAATATCCACACTGAAGTTTGGAACAGCGGGTCAGAAACTTGCGCTGGAACGCAGTCTTTTTACGCACGCAAGAGATGGTGAGTAAAGCAAACTATTTAGGTAATTTAGTTCACAACAAAGTTTATTTTGAGGGGGGAAACGAGGAAAATGACACATTTCCTCGTCTGACAGCATTTTATCCAAAACGACCTGTCATCTCTCAGCGCAAACTCCAGCTGCGTTTGGAGAGCAACAATAATGACAAACTCCACACAATTATTTGTTTACTCTGACAGGAAAGTTATCTGTTCTGGGGCAAATATAGGTGAGCATTTGGCCCTGACCTGTAAAGGACTATGAGCTGTTTTTTTTTTTTTCCTCCACAACCTGTCAGCGTGGATCTGGGAGATCATTGTTGCGCACAGGTGTGGCACAAAATTATCTTTTAGGCTATTTTGGTCGACATGGATGGGATCAAAGCCAAAACATTTTTTTCAGGTGTCAGGCAGGTTTATGATCAGCCCGATTCAGAGCTGGRACATGTGCGTAAACCCTCTAAGTGTTCTCCACCACGGGTTGTGCGTWACCGTGCCTCATTTAAAAACTTTATTAATTTATTATCAAGAGTTTATTCTCATTTTACATCATTATAGTTATGAAGTGTACTGCCTTCTGGAAAATACTACACCAACAAAAGCATCAAGTAGATTAAACTCCAGCTTGCGAGCGAACGCGCACCGTCAGCTGAGCGCTGCGCAACGAGAGAGAGCGAGAGAGAGATCATAACTTGTCAGCGGTGCAGCCTGTAAATGTCAGTGGGACCAGCTGATGGGCAGGGCCGTAAAGTGGGGGAGACAATGCCCCCCTGGCCCCCCCATTCCGGCGCCGGTGCTCAGAGATCACCTAGGAGCCATGTGCCAATTTGTGCTCGCAGGCAAGAACTTTATTACAGGTGAAGAATAATAAAAAAAAAACAGTGACTTCAGATATAGAATCACATTCTTTGCCTATGTTCTACAAATCAGAAACAAAAATATCTAAAAATGTGTTCAGTTCTCGAGGGATAAAAGTCCACAATGAGAATCTACAGGAAAAAGCCTGTAAGTAAGATAAATGCAAGCACTCTACACCCTCCTGTCACCCCTGGGCCAACATGACCCAAGAGCAACAGGAGAACCAAGCCGTAGTGGTCTGTTGTACTTGTCCATAAAGCCCTTGTTTCAATGTGCATGTGAGTTTTATAAACTCCTGTATAATTATGCATAAAATCAGTTTGTACACATTCACACTCCTCTTTCATGTTTCAGACAAAGAAAGCAACTCAAGTTACAACATGATTAAGCATAGGTAATACGTCACTTCATATGATCATGCACAGGATTGGGATACATCCATGTGATAGGATTTGAAAAAAGCAAAAGATACTTTTTTCACTTCAAAGACAATGAATCACTTCTCTTCAGTCTCTGCTTTACTTCTGACTCAACTTGTTATCATCGAAAGACTGATTGGGTGAAACTGACAGTTCCAGAATTTATAGCTCCAGTTCCTCCAGCAAGGCCCCAGGAGCAGAAGGGAGGTTTGGTGTTTGCAGGCCAGTTTGCAACAGGTTGACCTTCAAAACAACAGTTTGGGCTCACCCATGTTGTGTTACAGTTGTTTCTACCCACGTTCATCCACTGATCATCAATCAGTGAGGTGGATTCGGTCCTCAGTACCATTCAGCCCTTTGTCCAAACTCTGCAGATCATTCTGATGTTGGTCTCTTTTGATGGTTGTCATAAGCATTGACAGCAGGGTGATAATGACAAGACACCCCCAGGTGATGTTTGGATCACACGTGTGTAATCCTGAACTGATAAATGGGGTTTATGGCCCAAGTTTTCATCCTCAGCTTTCCTTTCAGTATCTTCATATGACAAAAATATATAAAGTATACAGTTTGTGATAATTTTTAGGCTGTTGTTTTCTTGTCTGAGGTTAGATGAGGTTCAGTTTCATCATTCAGATTTAAACTATTAAAACTCAAACTAAAACAAAAAACAGTGTTTAGATGCACCTTACATCCAGAAAACAAGTTGATGATTGCAAAACAAGCATGACTTGTGTGCTTTGAGCAAAATTCATTTGCACAAAGCACAGTGTGATGACATGTCCCTCGTGCTGTGCAGATAAAAAAAGCATTTTATTCATTTCCATCTTTTAAGTTGTTGAAGGAGAGATATTTCTTCAGTTTATCTTCTCTCCACTGGCTCCCTGTCGAATTCAGAATAGAATTTAAAATATTACTCCTAACATACAAAACTCTCAACAACCAAGCTCCATCATATATTAAACATCTTATTGTTCCATACTTTCCTAACAGAGCACTTCACTCTCAGACTGCAGGTTTACTTGTGGTTCCTCCAGTTTCTAAAAGTAGAATGGGAGGCAGAGCTTTCAGTTATCAAGCTCCTCTCTTGTGGAACCAACTTCCAGTTTCTGTCTGTGAGGCTGACACTCTGTCTACTTTTAAGATTAGACTGAAGACTTTCCTTTTTGATAAATCCTATAGTTAGACTTAGGTTTCCTGAATTATTCCTTAGTTATTATAGTAAATTAGTTCTGTTGCTATAGGCTTAGACTGCTGGAGGACAAACTGACTACATGTCCTCACTCTGCTGCTGGCTTCTTAGATTTATTGCTTTTTGTGTACGGTGCCCTGAGATGTATGTTGTGACTTGGCGGTATATAAACAAACTGAACTGAATTTATTTTATTTTTCTGGTTTTAAGCATTACAGTGTTTACCAGTGGTGGGCACTTGTRCCCTAAAGCGCAAAAGCGCTAATTGTGAACCTAAATTTCTCCTTTGCACTTTAGAGGTTTTAATAATTTCTTAAAATGTTGTGTGGATTTGCGCCTTCCAAATTTAGACATGAGTAACGCTAATCGCAAATAATGTTTCACATTCAAACGTCAATTTTGTCTGAAGCAAAGAGAAAGGGACATCTAATCTCACTATGTTTTGTAGTCACATAATACATACATGCATACATCATATATATATATATGTGTGTGTGTGTGTGTATAATATTCCTGATCTGCAGAACCACGCTCAGCTGTGCAGTTTGTACCTCCTCTCCAAGGGACACCGTAGCAATAAATATTAAATAAATAAATAATAGTAAAGACAAACACGGAACAGTTTAAATTCACGCTCTTATTTAAAAAAGAACAGAGTTCCTATTCTGTGTCCTGTAGCCTACCCAGAATGCATATGTGCTTTTGAACTTGCAGACCTAAATAAATTGACTAGTGCTTCAGTAATTGTGCAACTAAAATTTGAATTAATGCTGCCCACCACTGGTGTTTACTATTAGTGATGGGATAAATGGCTCTTTGAAGGGATCTGGATTCAAAAGAATCGGATCATTCGTGAACGTCACATCACTATTTACTATCACAACATGATTACATATTACCTGCACTGTGTTCATGTTGCCAATCTCTTATTTTTTGTTATTTTGTTAATTTCTTGTTCAGAAACAGTGGTTGACTAAAGTTTATTTTCAATACAAATCTTCATGACTCATTTGTCTTAATTTTTAATCAGTGGATCAATTTGACCATGAACAGAAGTGCCACAAGTTTAATTATAAACATCACTCCTTGAGAAAAAAAACAATCAAAATGTAGAAGAGAGAATAAAAAAAATCAATTTCATGTATAATCATTTTTTGTGTGTAGGTTTTTTCAGTGGACATAAATAAATTGGGGGTTATGAATATAACCAATGTTCCCTGAGGGAGGGAAATGAGGTACAACACGAGTATGGGGATTACTCATGTGTTGTACTGAGTGTACTGACGGAAAGGGAACTTTTMATGAAAAATGAGTGAATTGTCCTTATTGATCCTTTATCTGTGACAGATAAAAAATATCAATGCTAATAAAATATAGCTTGAAATGGTTAGTAACGGAGTTATTAAACAGATACAAAAATGTCTCTGGGGATTTTCCTTTTTTAGTTGCTGACAATACAGCATGATTAAACATTCCCAGGGTCAAACTGACCTGGGAACATTGTTGCTGTTCCTCAGAAACTAACATAACAGGTGGGTTAACTATTGTCTTATCTTTCCTTCTTACCTTTGTCTCTTTTGACCATACAAAGTTTGACTAAACTAATTTTGGCTAGTCTGAGTGATCAGTGGCAAATTTCAGCTGAGCTTGAAGGTACTGGTTCTGAAAGGAGATTTTTTTGGGGGTAAACCCTCTTAGCTCATGGTGATGTAAAACTGGCTTCATTGTGGTCAGTGACACTGGTGGTCCAGCAGTTTTTAGTTTATTACAGGCTTGGGTTTTTGTAGTTCTGGGGTTGTTGCTGCACATTAAAACCAACCTCATTGTCAGTCCAACAGGGGATTCCAAACAAATCATTTTTATACTGGCAAAACAAAACTACTGCTTGCAATCAATCAACATCACATATAAGAATTTATTAGGATTTGGCCTTAGTACGTTAAAAAAATCCCACATTCAAACCTAAGAATTAAGTGATATTTGATCCTTTAAATGTAAAATGTTAACTTCGTAAATTAAAGTTTATAAAGAATGTAAACGTGTGCACTCATTTCTTAGTTTGAATTAAATTATTGGAAGTGCTGGCTGTATGCTTATTACACACTGAAAAATCTATTTCAATCAGTCATCAAAGGTGCCAAATTAAAGGGACATCCCTGCCTATGAGTAACTTGTGATCATAATTTTTATACAATTGTATGTTGTCTGTCACATGTTGACGATCCTTAAAAAGATTTATTCAACTCCTTTGACTTTCAGTTCTTCTCGAACTCGGCTGAGGTACTCAGGATCTGGGTATCCAAACCTGTAAACACAAACAGAAATTCATTCACTTCACATGGACAGCTCCAAAGCTCATGGAAAATGTACTTTCATTAATAGTGAACATGTGGTGCCGAGGATGGGGCTTAATATTATTTAGATGCCTTTTAATCACCTAATCACTTTTTTAGGGAAATAGATTAAAGTTAAACTATGTTTCAGTCCCAGGCCCCATCCACACAGGAAGGTTTTTCAGCAAGACAATCTTTTTCTTTTGTAGTTTCTAAAAACAATCGTCACAAACACAGCAGAGTTGAAAATGCAGAAAACAACAAAGAATGTTGAATTAACTATGCCATTCCTGTGTGGTGTCATAAAAATTAGGGGTGTCCCGATACCAGTTTTTTCAAGACTGAGTACAAGTACGAGTACTTCAGTTTAGGTACTCGCCGATACCGATACCAAGTAGCGGGGTTAGGGTYGATTATCTGTTCAACTTGTTGAATATTAAACAMAATGAAAATGAAATGCAATTATCATGCAAAAATTGATGGGTAAATATTATGTTTGACAATAAAAAGGTAGTGCAAACTCTGCCAAGTAGATAAGTTGTTATATATATATCACACCATAACTTTTGAAACAATTCATTTTATTTCAAACAGGGCTCTTTTTAATAAGGCCACACTCCCTCTGAATGTATTAACAAAACAAATACTGCAAAACAAATGCTGTTGCATACATTAAAAAACAAAAGTTATTTTTATACATTTTCCTCAACATGCAACTACCAAATTTAAATTAAAATATAAAACGTAAATTTTAGCAGCACATCTARAGAAGTTTACTCTGCTTCAGTCTTAAACTGTTAAAAWAGTAATAAAGTGCAGTAAATTTCAGTTCAAACTTAAATGGAACAACTACAAAATCTCAGAAGAACCAGAGGGAAAAATAAAATGCTTTTACAGCAAACTTCCTTCCATATTCTGCTRATGTCTTAGTTTGTTCTACAAGAAAGAAAAAAACAGCATTGAAGTTACTGCAACAACAGTGCTGTTTATGAAGGCTACTGCTAGCAGCAGCAAACTCTTTGAATTCTTTGTCATGCCTTATCCTCAAATGTTGAATCAAATTGCTGCTGTTAAAACATCCAACTTTCGCTCCTCCCCTTGACAGTTAGCAGAGCACAGCAGACAGTCCACTTGTTTGGTGTCCTCGTTTGGTGGCCGATCTTAAAATATCTCCATATTGCCGATACGTTACTTCTTCTTCTTCTTCTTCTTCTTCTCATCGTTCTTCTTCTGTTATTGGGGGTGCGGTCGGAAATAACTTGTCATTGCGTTAGCGCCCCCGCCTGGTATGGATTGTTGTTTACCCTTTGTGCTGCAGCGCAGCACAGGAGGAACAAAAAAGGGGACAAAAGCGGTATCGGTTAAGAGTATCGGCCGGCTTTTARGAGTACGAGTACTTGATGCTGGTATCGGACCCGATACCGATACTGGTATCGGGACACCTCTAATAAAAATACACCAGAAGCAAAATGGAGAACATGAGCTTACATGTTGATTTACAACTATGGATGCACAATAGTGAAAAATGTGAATATTTATTCATTTCCATTGAGTCTTAAATGCATTTCACATCTTTATGTTTGAGATGGTTAGAATATTTTATAAACGATGTGCAATCTGTTTATTTTCATGCTGTGATTAAGATTGCTGTAAGGACAACCAATTCCTGAGGAATTATCTAGTTACACACCTTGGAAACATGTAATGTTTGTGCATCATGACTTCCTGTTAGAAAACTGTGTCAACCAATAAGTGAGGTCATGTTCCCTTCTTAGACTGTCCTTTTCAGGAGGTGTGACTCAGATCTGGACATTATTAAAAATGTACTGTGTTACGATGAAGAAGAAAGAACTGCCAAGGGCTGAAGAAAGGGACCTTGTTGTTGTTTGCTGGTGTGAGTCAGGGTCACAGACAGGCGCTGGGAGACAGTGACTCAGCAATGAAAAGGAATAAAGCTTTTTTTTAAATTAATTTTATTTTAAATTTTTAAGTTTAAGACATACAGATGAACAGACAAACAGGGCCCAGATGCACAGATCAAAGCATAAAACTTTGCAATTGATATATGGTGTACACACACAACACATATTTAGTCATATACAAGAATATATGTACTCATTTTAGAAGGTGACCGAGGAGAGAGTCCATGGAGGAGTTTGTTCAGCATTGGCTGGTCATTTTAAAGTGTTCCAGGAAGGGATTCCAGCAGCGTGAAAAAGTGTCCTCAGAGCCTTTCTGAAAGCCTCTCCATCTGTATTACGGACATCATGTCCATCATCCATAAGTGGAAGGAAGGAGGAGCAGAGGACCTCCAGTCTCTCAAGATTAGCCTCTTAGCGACAATCAGTCCCAATTCCAGTGGCTGCTGCAGTGCAGTTGGTATAGTCCCTGGCACCCGAGGGCATCCAAAGATTATAAGTCCTGGTTCAGGTTGCAAGAGGGTCTTATATGCTTTGGAGTACCAATCAAATATTTTTGACCAAAAACCAATTAGTAATGGGCAAGACCAAAATGCATGAGACAGTGTGCCTTCAGATATGTTACACCTGTCACACATTGGTGAGACAGAGGGGTAAATCTTGTGCAATCTGACCCTTGAATAGTGCAGCCGATGTGCGATTTTAAACTGAATTATTTGATGCCTGCTGTTTATTGAGCAAGAGCGAATTTTAGAGAGGCACCTGTTCCACAAAGGTTCAGGGATTGTTATCCCTAGCTCGTTTCCCCAGGCTTATCTAATTTTTGTAGTGTGTGCAATAATGCGGTCACCAAATATATGTACAATTCTTGAAATGTGATGCCTGGAATCAGGGGGGCTCCCTAGGATGTCAAAAATGCTGTGCTCAAGTGGAAGAGTGCCGAAGTTCTGAATCTTTGACTTAAGGCTGGTTTATACTTCTTGTCGCATGTCTTTTACTCCCGGCTGAGTGAAAAAAAGTGGAGCAGCTTCCGTCTGCACTCCCGCTCTGATCCCCCGGTGACAGCTGTCCTATACATTGCCCACAGTCAGCACTCCGAGACGCGGGGAATGTGGCGTGGAGTGTGTGATTGGTTCAAAGTTTGTGGACGTTTTTGTGTTGTGTGACACCGCTACCCGCTACTCCCTACCAGAAGCCAGTTTTTGTTTCTAAACATGGATAGTTTCGAAGAGAAACTCACAGAGGCGGTCCCCGGAGGTATAACCATCTGTGACTCCTCTCGGTGCGTGCTGAAGGTGAGGGGAGATCCAGTGTGCAAAAAAAAAAAAAAAAAAAGATCCGGTGGGCAAGTTCCTCGAAACAAGCAGCAGACATTTGAAAATAGGAGAAGTTTTTTCGTCATCCATCTCCCGCACAAGATAAACATGCAACTAGCAAGTTTTTTTTCAGCAACCAGCAGTTATTTACATGCTAAGCTAGCGCGTGACGTCTGCGGTGGGAGGGCAGAGGGAGGGATTACTATAATGTATTCCCCACGTCTTTCTCCAGTGTAAACACTGAATGCTGTCGGTGACACACGCAATTACGTCATCGCTGGGCCACAGCCGCACGTCTTGCATGAAGTATAAACAAACCTTTAATGTAATGTCTGACCTGCAGATAACGAAAGAAATGTTTATGAGGCAGATTGCATCTTTCTTTCAATAGGCTGAATGATGCAAATTTGTTATCAATATACATGTCCTTAATTGATACCAACCCCCTTTTCCTCCAGTCATGATAAGCTTTATCCTGCCAAGGAGGCAGAAAGCTGTGGTTAAAACATAACGGCGTCTGTACTGATGTATTTGGTAACGCAAAGAAACTCCTGATCTGATTTAGGATTCTTACTACGTGTTTTAACACAAAGCTCAAGTTTCGGTAGGCTTCTGGCTTTTCAAGGCAGGCAAACAACATAGCTGGTAGCGAGGAATTATTCACCAGTTTGGATTCCATCTTGAGCCACAAAGGAGTATCGACCACTGGGTTATCTGGGAACCCCTGCTGCCAGAACATTAGTGCCCTGATGTTAGCGGRCCAATAATAGTGTTTAAATACAGGTAAGCCCAGCCCTCCCTCCTCCTTCAACTTCTGTAGATGTACTCTAGAAATCCTTGCATTTTTCCCATTCCATGTAGGATTGAATAATCGAGTCCAAGTCTTTAAAGAAGGCTGCCGCAAGATAGATAGGAAGATTTTGACATAAATATAAGAACCTAGGCAGGGAGATCATTTTAACTGAGTTAATGCACCATTGGCAGCCTGGGCAAAGTTTTCCAATATTCGATATTTTGCTTTAATCCTGACAAACTCTGCAAAGTTTAGTTGAAATATAAGTTTTGGGTCTTTGGGTACAGTAAGGCCTAGATATTGTAAGATGGCTTTCAACCACTTTGAATGGGACTTTTTGCAAAAATCCAGACGGGTACTTATTAGAAAGAGGCATCAACTTACTCTTTGACCAGTTGATTGTATACCTGGAAATTTTACCAAAAGATGTAATCAAGCCAAGGAGGAAGGGGACAGATCTCACTGTGTCATATTAAATATAATATTACATCATCAGCGTATAAACTAATAAGTGTTTCAACACCGCCAACTCGTAGACCTTCAATCTGCGGGGGCTCCCTTATCGCCACAGCAATGGTTCGCAATCGCAAAGAGCGCTGGAGCAAGCGGACAGCCCTGCTGACCTGAGTGCTGCAGGCGAAATGTAGATGACCGATCGTTATTTGTCAGAACAGAGCACACAAGTTCTCGATATATCAGCTATATCCAGGCGATGAAGGTCTCACCGAAACCGAACCTGCGCAATGATTCGAACATATACGGTCATTCGACCTGATCAAAGGCTTTATGTGCATCAAGGGCCAGAATTGGGGCATTGGTGTTTTTATGGTCAAGGTATACAGTGTTAAGTGATCGTCTTAACATTGAAAAAAGACAATCTGCCAAGGATAAACCCGGTCTGATCCGAATGGATGATTAGGCCTMTCACGATAACAAATTTTGCT